GTTCGCCATCATGGCCCTAAGATATAAGCGTATTATATCCCAAAACTCAATACAAAACATAAGAATTCCAGTGCCTCTCACATTTTTTATGAAACCCTATAGCTATTTGCATCATTTCCTCCATACCCCAGATATGTCAGCTGTAGCCTTGGGCACTTAGACACTGTCCTTACTGAATGCAGGTGCTACATAAAAGTGCTATAGAAATTACTATTTAATAAATTTAGAATGTGAATAAATTAATAATTACCTCGCTTCCTGCAGCTGTCAGCCAGATGCTTCCACGAAGAAGGCTATTATATCCTTACCAGAGGGGACACTTCACTCGTACTTGGTTTTATTTAGAGTTTCGTCTTTGTGTTTGCAGTTGGTTGGTTGGTTGGTTGGTTGGTTGGTGCTATTGTTCTGATGTAACTCTTTTATGGAATGATTTTCTTTCTGTCGAAAAATATGTTGCCCAAAGACTTTAGACTTGGGGCAAGGATAAACAGCCTTCTGCAAATAATTAAATAGATAATTATTTTTGCTTGCTGAAGCTCAAGATTCTTTGTCAGAAAGTGGCTCTTACAATATTTCAAACCAGATAGAAACTTAAAAACAATTGTACATTTGTTCATCGCATCACTTATCTGCAACAGATTGGTGAGCTTTGCATTGTAGTAATGTGTTTGATGTCAATTAGTATCAGTGTGAACAACAGAAATGACAACCTGGAAGTAGCTGAGGATACAATATACAAATAGAAGAATAAGCAACCATGGAAACTTAGAGAGAAGCAGATGGCATTTCTAAGGAGATATCTTCTTAATATTTGTATTGATAACTGAGTGTGAGAAAAATAAAAAAGAAAGTTGCAGCAATTTTTCCGTCTTCTTAGCTGACTGTTTTTGACTTTATAAGTTTCTGGGTGAAGCTTTGATGGAAACAAGTTTCTCCCTACAACTTTTCCAATAACCAGGAGAATGAGGAATTCCCTGATCAGAATGATCCCAATCAGGGAAGAAACCAGAGGTGGCATTCAGCTGTTTTGGATCAGTTTACCTGAACCAGTAGCGCAGGCTCTGTGGCTCTGGAGCCACATGTGGCTCTTTCACTCCTCTGCTGCGGCTCCTTGTCACTCAAAATATGTGTCACAGCCGCCAATGTGTGACACCCGCCGGCACGCAATTTATTGAGTTTTTCAACCCCGGGTAGGCCAACCATGGATAAATCCAAGAAAAGAAAAGTTTCAGAAGAAAACAGAACGTTTAATTCAACTACATATGCTAGTTTTGTGGCCGCTCAAGAAATAGTCAGGCACGGGAAGAGTTTTGTGGCTCCTGGTGTTTTCTTTTCTGTGGGAAATGGGTCCAAATGCTCTTTGAGTGTTTAAGGTTGTAGACCCCTGCGGTAGCGGAAATCGTGGGTGGGCCCGCTCCGGCTCTATGCATTCCTATTTAGGCACGTTTTAGAGGCTGGGCATATGGGTGGATGCATGCGCTCACATTTGCGAACTGGTAGGGAAAGTAAGCGGATACCACCCCAGAAGAAACACGTTTTGAGGGGTCCTTGGTGCTCTCTGAGCTTGCTTGTTTTCTTGCAGACATTTCATTCCCCTAACTAGGTAACACCACCAGTGCTAGTCTTGCAAGAAAACAAGCAAGAAAACAAGCAAGCTCAGAGAGCACCGAAGACCCCTCATTTCAACCCTGAGCTATAAATATTCTCCTTTATAAGAAACACCTAGTCTTTGATTTTGACCAGTTCAAATGTTCTCCCTCAAAATAATCGTCAAAACCTGAGCCTCTGCTCTCTGCAACTCTCCTGCCCACAAAAGTATTATTAGACGAGGATGTTATCACAATCAAGATATCAATAATTATACAATAATAAAGATAAGATAGAGTTTGAAATAAATCTATCAAAGTACGGTCACGTTTCCCCATTGTGTTGGTGAAATTTGCACACAGTGCCAGTTTTTGGCTCTTTTTTTGGTTCGTCTTCCTCTTGATATCTATGGCAGTGGTGGGTTTCAAATTTTTTTACTACCGGTTCTGTGGGTGTGGCTTGGTGGGCGTGGCATGGCTTGGTGGGCATGGCAGGGGAAGGATACTGTAAAATCTCCATTCCTTTCACAATCCAGGGGAAGGTTACTGCAAAATCCCCATTTCCTCCCGATCAGCTGGGACTTGGGAGGCAGAGAATAGATGTGGGCGGGGCCAGTCAGAATTTTTACTACCGGTTCTCTAAACTACTCAAAATTTCTGCTACCAGTTCTCCAGAACTGGTCAGAACCTGCTGAAACCCACCTCTGATCTATGGAGATTCTCAGTCATCCAGGTCATGGTGGTCCCAAAGATGCTTTTTTCAAGAGCCAACTGGACTTTCTGGTTTTTCTTTGAAGATGTTTCTCTTATCATCCAAGAAGTTTCTTCAGCTCTGTTTAGATCAGTGGTTCTCAACCTGTGGATCGCGACCCCTTTGGGGGTCAAATGACCCTTTCACAGGAGTCGCCTAAGACCATTGGAAAACACTTTTTTTTTTAAGGGCTGAGATTTCTTTTTTATTTATTTATTTAAATTGTTATTTATAAGTACAAACTAAACAGAACAATGAAACGTACAAAACATAAAAACATATAAACACCCATTTCAATACATGTCCAGTTTGTCGCATTTCTCTTTGAAATTTGACTCTTCCTTATTTGGTCATTCCCTTTTGTCTATCTACTATTGATCTTTGTTGACCTATGTCTGTTCTTTGTTTCCATCATATTATATTTGGTCATTTTGTTTACTTCCTATTGCTTCATCTCTTTCCTATCTTTCAACCAACTATACCACTTTTCCCATACTAAGTAAAAGTCATGTTCTTCCCTATTTTGTAATTCCTTTGTGAGTCTATCTAATTCCGCACATTCCATAATTTTATTGATTACTTTATCTGGTGTTGGTATATCACTACTCTTCCGGTGTTGCACGTATAGTATTCGTGCTGCTGTTATCATATGTATAGTTAAATATGTTGTTTCTTTTTTGTAGTATCCATTCACTATGCCTAGTAAGAAGCTTTCTGGTCTTAATTCTATCTTTTGGTGTGTTATTTCCTCTATTTGTATTTTGATCTTTTGCCAATATTTTTTCGCCATTGGGCAGGTCCACCACATATGGTAATAGGTGCCTTTGTGGTGGTTGCATTTCCAACATGTTGATGGCGTGCCGGGGAACATTCTTGCCAATCTGGCTGGTGGCAAGTGCCACCTATAAAACATTTTATAGAGATTTTCTTTATAGGGTACAGACATTGTCAATTTATAATTTAAACAAATATTTTCAATGGTCTTAGGAATAATTTTATGGTTGGGGGTCACCACAACATGAGGAACTGTATTAAAGGGTCGTGGCATTAGGAAGGTTGAGAACCACTGGTTTAGACGGTGGTTTAGACTCCTTGCAGACAGCTGGTTATTTACATTCTTTTAGCGAGTCGTTAAGGCAACTTGGAGATTTATCTGTGTCCTCAGGGTCACCTGAGTAGTGTAGATGGGTGTGGAGCCTTCTTGGAACTGCTGAAAGGACTGTATTGTAGACTGGAGATAGATGATGTTGTATCTCTCCCCCTCTGTTAAGAGAGGGCTGTTCAATTTCATAGATGGCCTCCACTCTTTTGAAGACAGTAAAGTCCACATTTTGGACAGAGAGGACACTGGTTTGAAAGAGGGGGTCAAAGAGGCCATCTGTGTCAAAACTGAACAGCCCTCTCTCAACAGAGGCGGAGGGATATGACATCAACTATCTCCAGTCTACAACAGTTCCAAAAACGGTCCCCACCCATGTGTACCATCCAGGTGACCCTGATGACACAGATAAACCTCCAGGTGGCCTCAACGACATTTGCAAGGATGCAAATGACCGGCTGTCTACAAGGAGTATAAATCCTTCCATTCCTCACCATCCAGTCAGAGCTGAAGCAGCTTCTTGGAGGAGAAGTAAAACGTCTTCAACGAAAAAGCAAGAAAGCCCAGTTGCCTCTTGAAAAAAGGCTTCATCTTTTTTCAAAAGTCATCTTTTTGTGACTTCATCTCGATAGTTTCTTTTTTCCAACTATAGATAAGAATACACAAACGTACATACAGATAGTCCTCCCATTTACAACTGTTTAACGACTGTTAAACAGTTTAACGACTGTTTATAAAGTTACAATTGGGAAAAATGGGACTTAAAGTGACTGGTCATTGCACTTCCAACCATTGCAGCATTCTCATGATCACAAGATCACAATTCAGGCATTTGCCAACCGGCATGTATTTACGATGGCTGCAGGGTCCTGAAGTCATGTGATCGCCATTTGAATGCTTCATTTAACAACTACACAGATTTGCTTAACAACCATGGCAACAACAACAAAAAAAACCCTCATAATATCGAGTGTTTAACAACCATCTTGCTTAGAAATGGAATTTCTGCTTTCAGTTGTGGTCATAAATCGAGGACTACATGTTTGCCTATATTACCAGTGAAATTCATGTATACCTGACAAAGCAGGATAGGATTTCTATCTCTAATAGCTCGTACATGTCAACAAAATGATACAGAAGTCCATTAAACCAACTACATGGTCATTAAACATTGACACCGATTTGAAGGTACATCATTAAGCCTTATATTTTCTTTTGTTTGTGCTTACCAAAATTAGCAGGGTAAATTTCAGTGTAAGAAAGAAAGCTTTTAAAAAACATTTCAAAGTATGCAAAGGTTTAGAGCAGGGGTCTCCAAACTTGGCAACTTTAAGACTTGTGGACTTCAACTCCCAGAATTCCCCAGCCAGCTTTGCAAAATTGGTTGAGGAATTCTGGGAGTTGAAGTCCACAAGTCTTAAAGTTGCCAAGTTTGGAGACCTCTGGTTTAGAGTGTTAAAATGATTGGGTGGTGTTTTTACTTATTCAGATGTTTAAATTCCATAAAATGGTGACCTCTCTGTTTATTATAGAAGTTTTTTCTTTCTTTATTTTCTTTTAACAGCTTAGAGCACACGCCGTAGATATGAATGGGAACAAAGTGGAGAATCCAATTGATCTCTACATTTATGTCATCGACATGAATGACAACAGGCCGGAATTCATAAACCAAGTCTATAACGGATCTGTTGATGAAGGATCTAAACCAGGTATGCCTGAATGTCTCATAAAACTATTTCATTATTATTTTTTAAGATAATAGACTCAACTTGGTCTCTTGATCTGTTATTTAAGAAATCTGACTTGTCTTAGTTTAGAATATTAGGGAAACAAGATGAAGTTTGAAATTCCAAAGCAGAAATACACTTTTATTATTCTGAAATACACTTTTAGCCTGTATCACTGTTGCTCCTGTAAGATCAGAGAATGGAGAAGACATTATACATTCAATTTTGCAGCTACTAAGAATGTTGGACGAGCAGGCACAAAAACAGCCAGGGAAGTGATTGAAGTCTGGGAAAGAGGCCACTCATCAACAGGAATGCTGATTTACCACCAGCTTATCCAGTACTGAGCTATGGTGGCACAGTGATTAGAATGCAGTACTACAGGCTACTTCTGCTAACTGCTGGCTGCCAGCAGTTCAGCAGTTCGATTCTCACTGGCTCAAGGTTGACTCAGCCTTTCATCCCTCCAAGGTTGGTAAAAGGAGGACCCAGATTGTTGGAGGCAATAGGCTGACTCTGTAAACCACTTAGAGGGCTGTAAAGCGGTATACAAGTCTAAGTGCTAGTGCTAAGTGCTACTTAGAAGGCAAGGACTGGGCAGCACGAGCAAATTATAGCCAATGACTTAATAGCCAGGGGTGTTATTCAATAGGTTCTGACAGGTTCTGGAGAACCGGTAGTGGAAATGTTGAGTAGTTCGTAGAACCGGCAAATACCACCTCTGGCTGGCCCCAGAGTGGGGTGGGAATGGAGATGTGCGGGGGTCCTCATGCACAGGGATGCATGCGCATGCATGGGCTGCATGCTCAGGGGGATGCTCGCATTGCATTTTGGGAGTTCTGGCACACGCACGTACATTCATGCGCGCATGTGCGCGCTTTGGGCACTTGGCACCAAAAAGGTTAACCATCACTGACCTATACTATTTCAGAAAAGTGACTGTCTAGACTCTTCTTTAAAAACCCCAGTGATGGAGTGGCCACGATTTCTGGTGGCAAGCTGTTCCGCTGGTTAATTGTCCTCACTGTTAGGAAGTTTTTCCTTAATTCCAGGTTGCTTCTCTCTGGATTAGCTTTGATTAGCTTCCAACTATTGTTTCTTGTCCTGCCCTCCGGTGTTTTGGAGAATAATTTGACCCCCTCTTCTTCGTGGCATCTTGATCACCTCCAACTAAGGGGAAGGTACCACCTGACTTTGTCATTGGTTCCTCTGTAAGCATCTCTTACTGTTACTGTGATTTTTTCCCCTAGCATTCAATCATAATCTGCCTCTCTTCAATTTAAACCCACTAATCCATGTCCTGCATTTTCATCAACACATTGTGATACCCACTGATAAATGTATTAGACTCCTTTGTTCTTTCAGAGATACACTGAGCAAGGAAAAGCTGCCCATCCGCGTGTGAAATGATGTACATCATGCACACTGGTAGACAGTTGTGGTCAGCAGCTGCCAAGAATATTATATATTCTTGGGGTCGTGTGTTCCTTCTTTGTATTTTCTCGGAAGTAAATCCAGCTGAGTTTAGGCTTTTTTTTTCAAAGTATGAATGCCAGGTAAAGTTAGGTTTGTGGAATCGCTATTGCAAATGCTTCTCTGATATCCCAAAGACATTTTTTTTTTTCAAAAGACAAGTGGGATTTCTTTGTTTTTCTTTGGAGACGTTTCGCTTCTCATCCAAGAAGCTCCTTCAGGTCTGATTGAATGGTAGAAGATAGAAAGATTCAGTCAGAAGTGAAGAAGCATCTCGTCTGAGAAGTGAAACGTTTTCAAAGGAAAACAAAGTCCAGTTGCCTTTTGAAAAAGCACCTTTGGGACAACCTTGACCTGGATGACCGATGATCTCTGTAGACACTTCTCTGATAGTTAAGTAGACGTTACAAAGCAGACATTTCTCACCGTACAGTGGCATACACAGAGCCCTCCTCCTCAAAATATTAAAGCAGCTGCATTGTTTAGAAACTCATGCAGCTGTTTTGAACTGTCCCCATCTGCCTTCACATGCTGTTGTGGCTCCGTTCTCCGAGCCTATCTTATCGGAGGAAGAAGGCTCCGAACATGAAGGAGAGGAGACGGCCAGGCCTCCCTCTCCAGGACCCTCCTCTCTGGCAATGCCTCAGGTGTCTCCCGAAGGAGAAGAGATTGGACAGGAGCCAGGTGTTTCTGAGCCATCGGATAGTGATCAAGAAACATTGTGGTTGGACCCACGCCAGCGTCAGAGAGACAAGCGAGCGCAGCAGAAAAGGAGGCGTGCCAGAGATTAAGCTGAGTCACTGGACCACACCCCACAGGCTATAAAAGGGAGTGTGGTGGCCATTCAGACTCTGTGACGGACAAAGCTAATCTCTGGCGAGGCACTTTGCACCTTCAGACATAACACCTATTTGCTGTGGATTTAATTACAAACTGGACTATTCAAACTGTGTGTATTTTTGTCTGGGTTATTGGAGTAAAAGTTCTTGGCAGGCAGCCACGGAGTTGCTGCCAAGTTCCTTATCACTGACATTGAGTGTTTGAAGAGTTTATTTAACCCTCGGCTGGCTGGTTGGGTGTGTGCATGGTACGGGGACAGAACACATGCATGTATATCCAACAATGCTTTCAGAGGTGGTATTCATCCAGTTCGGACAAGTTCGGATGAACCAGTAGCGGAAATTTTGAGTAGTTCGGAGAACCGGCAAATACCACCTCTGGCTGGCCCCACCCTCCCGCCTCCACCATTCCCTGTCCTATATTCCCTTGTTTTTTTGCTCAGCTGATTCGTGTGTCAGCTGAGCCGCGCATCAGCTGAGCTAAACAACAGCTCAGCTCGCCAGAGTTGACACCAGGGGAGGTCTTTGAATGTTGCGCACGCGATCTCTCATAGAACCGGTAGGAAAAGATTTGGAATCCCACCACGGAATGCTTTACTTTGCTAGCATTCTCAGCAGAAGAGAAGGTTGGTCCTAATTGAGAACAATTTTTCTAGCAGCCAATCAGTGGTGAAATTCAGCTGGCACGATCCGGTAGTGCCGGCGGCGAGAGGCTCTGCCCACCTGCCCGGACATTATCACGTCCCATTTTTGACCCTCTGCGCATGTGCAGAAAGTCTGTGCATATGTGGAGGAGGTGCGCACGCTCTCATATCGCGAACCGGTAGCGAAGGTAAGTGAATACCATCCCTGCAGCCAATCCTCTTTAACGCTTTTGAGAAAGGTGCGTTTCCTCATACCAAGACATTTTGTGAAGCCTCTCTTTAAGATTCTTTGCATGGATTTGCACTGCAGTCTGTGACAAAGAGGATACAGGTAGTCCTCAACTTACAACAGTTCATTTAGTTGGTTTGGCCATTCAAAGTTGCAACGGCACTGCAAAAAAGAAAGTTATGGCCATTTTCACACTTACAACCATTGCAGCATCCCCGTATGGTCATGAGATCCAAATTCAGATGCTTGGCAACTGGTTCATATTTACGATGGTTGCAGAATCCTGGGGTCATAGGATCCTCTTTTATGACCTTCTAACAAACAAATTCAGTGGGGAAGCCAGATTCCTTTTACAGCCTTGTGGCTAAGTTAACAAATGCAGTGATTCACTTAGCAACTGTGGCAAGTAAAATGGGGCAAAACTCACTTAACACCTGTTTTACTTAACTACAGAAATGTTGGGTTCAGTTCAATGGTGGGTTTCAAATTTTTTTACTATTGGTTCTGTGGGCATGGCTTGTTGGGTGTGGCATGGCTTGTTGGGCGTGGCATGGCTTGTTGGGTGTGGCTTGGTGGGCATGGCAGGGGAAAGATATTGCAAAATCCACATTTCCTCCTGATCAGCTGGGACTTGGGAGGCAGAGAATAGATGGGGGCGGGGCCAGCCAGAATTTTTACTACCGGTTTTCCAAACTACTCAAAATTTTCACTACCAGTTCTCCAGAACTGATCAGAACCTGCTGAAACCCACCTCTGGCTCAGTTGTGGTCGTAAGTTGAGGACTACCTGTACTTTTGACAACATAATGATGTCAAAGAAAATGATGGTGGAGGAGGAGGAGGGGGAGAGGAAGGAGGAGGAACATGTTCATCGTGATATATACCCAAACAGTCTTTCTTAACACCATCTGGTTTAGGCTCAGCATGTAAAATCATACCAAATTATTACATATCGTACATCCATTTTGATCCAATGCAGAATTTCATGAACTGAACGAATAGGAACTATAACCATTCAAACCTATCAATGTTGCATTTATCTAAGATATCCCGAATCCAGCTGTGTTAACATTCATTCTGAAAATAATCATGATATGATAAACTGTGGTGTCCCTTTACTATGCAATAAAATAATACCTCAGGGATAAAATATTGTGCTTGTCCATTCTAATAGAATGTGGAATTATCTACCCGCTGAATTTTATACAGAGCCAGAATCCGGCGCATTGCTTCCCCATCAATCTTATTACAGTCAGTCTGTTCTCCAGACGAGGCCTACTTCATTTCTGAAATTTTCAGAGGAATCAAATGGCGACACCCTCTATATGTAATGTTCCCATCTTATTCTACTCCTTTTTTCATCATATTTCATTCCCAAGGAGAAAAAAAATATTGAGAAAGAAAAGGAAGTATCTCCATATCATTTTGAACTGCTGGTGTTAGGAACTTTCCGGTGGAATCTCATCCAGTTGGGGAATCCACAGTGGGTCACAAAAGTCAATAAGTTGGTTACGACCATGTGATCAAAGCTACTCCCTTTTTTTACACGGATTCCATAATACACGGAGAGATGGAACTTTGATTACAGGTAGTTCTCAACTTATGACCACAATTGAGCTCAATGTTTCTGTTGTTAATCGAGACATTTGTTAAGTGAATTTTGCCCCGTTTTATGACCTTTCGTGCCTCTGCTGTTAAGTGAATCACTGCAGTTGATAAGTTAGTAACCTCGTTGTTAAGTGAATCCAGCTTCCCCACTGCCTTTGCTTGTTAGAAGGTCACAAAAGGGGATCACATA